GTGTCTGGTGGAGCTGGAGCGGGCTGTCAGGTCGGAGAAATCCACCAGAAAACGAGACGTTCTGCTGCAGATTCTCGCAAATGTTAAAATAAAGTTTGTTTTCAGGACGAGCCGGAAGGTGGAAAGCTTATGCCGAGACTTTGAGCAGCAGAGGGTTTGCTACCTGCCCCTCTACATCTTCCTTCTCAGGCCTCTCCACCGCCTGCTGCACTACAAACTCATCCTGGAGAGGCTCTGCAAGCACTACCCCCCCACCCACGAGGACTTCAGGGACAGCCGCGGTACTCCAGCCCCCGTCTTCTACTGATTATTGTTGTTGTCCACTGTTCTGACTCCCCGTCCCCCTCTGTCCATCCCAGCGGCGCTGGCGGAGATCTCTGAGATGGTTCTGCAGCTTCAGGGCATCATGGTGAAGATGGAGAACTTCCAGAAGCTCCTGGAGCTGAAGAAGGATCTGACCAGCATCGATAACCTGGTCGTCCCTGGGCGGGTTCGCATCTTTTTCCATGACTTGTGGATTTATTTGAGCTGCAGTTTCCGTTCTGACCTGATGTTTGACCCTCAGGAGTTCATCCGCTTGGGCTGTCTCAGCAAGCTGTCAGGAAAAGGTCTCCAGCAGAGGATGTTCTTCCTGGTAGGTCGTCATCCTGACTCTGATGTTGGAACGTCAGCATCTTGTCTTTGAGCTTCTTCCTCTGTGCTCCAGTTCAGCGACTGCCTGATGTACACCAGCAGAGGCACGACGGCGTCCAACCAGTTCAAGGTCCACGGCCAGCTGCCTCTCTACGGCATGTCGGTGCGTCACCAAAATAAAAGCTACGGTTCAATAATAAAAATAATCCTTCATTCACAGTTAATGAGCTTCAGATTAAGGCAACGATAAATAAATCAAAAATCAATCTGAAGATATAGATTTTATTTTGAAAAACCTCGCCACATCTGGCTGATGAATAGTGAGAGCTTGCCGAGTCGGAGTCGTCTCTGTTTTAAACTAAAGGCTGATTTTATGGAGCTTTTATTTTGAAAATCAGTCATAAACATGATGAAAACACTTTCAAAGTAAAACTTACAGGACAGGAGGAGCGTGGCTCTTTGATCTGAACTCTAACCTGGTGTCTTGTTGCTGGACGTCTCCTGCAGATCAGAGACGGTGAGGACGAGTGGGGCGTCCCTCACTCGTTCACGCTGCTGGGACCGCGCCAGTCGGTGGTGGTGGCAGCCAGGTACGTGATCTGAACACGGGTCAGAGGACCGGCCTCTCATCCTTGTTACGTCAGCATGTCTTTGTGTCTCGTTAGGACCTTCGTCCCAGTTTGCTTGTCCTGTGATTAGTTGGACATCGTGACCTACTTCAGAACAAAGTTGTGTTTGTGTGCAGCTGCGGGACGGAGATGGAGCGTTGGGTGGAGGACATCAGAATGGCCATCGATCTGGCAGAGCAGAGCAGCGTCTCCAACACCGAGCTGCTGTCCACCAGTCCCCAGGACAAGAGTAAGACCAGTTGGACCTACAGGTCCCAGTCTAACGGTGTCCTAGTGTCAGACTTGTTGCCTTTATCTAAACTCTGTCCTCTGCTGTCCTCTCAGATGTTGGACACCTGGGGACAGGTGTTTTTGACCTGTTCCCACCAACATTAAAGGTAGATGTCTCTAAAACGTCTGACAGAGACATGTCTTTTACCCGTAGAGCTTTTAGAGGATGCTGGAGCTGAGCTGGAGTCGGGGGAGGAGCTGTCCGGTTCACGCTCGTCCCTGGAGCGCCAGAGTCACCGTGGCAACACGACCGTGCACGTCTGCTGGCACCGTAACACCAGCGTGTCCATGGTGGACTTCAGCGTAGCCGTGGAGGTACCACAGCCCGTCTCTGTCTGTCCTGTCTCTGTCTCATGTCCCCTGTGCCTCCATCTTTGGCCTGTGTGTGTGATGTGGGTGGAGCCTGTGCTACACCGACCCCTGCTGGAGGAAAGCAGGTACTGCAGTGGCTGAGGGGGTCTGAGGGACGTGCTAGCTAACGCTGAAATAAGACTTCCTGTTTCTTGACCCGTGTTTTCCCGCCCCGTTGGTGCAGAACCAGCTCTCCGGAAACCTGCTGAGGAAGTTTAAGAACAGCAACGGCTGGCAGAAGCTCTGGGTGGTCTTCACCAACTTCAGCCTGTTCTTCTACAAATCTCACCAGGTGAGCTCTGTTCTCAGGTGCTCAACCACCTGCTGTTCTGTGGAAACATTCCAGCTCCTCCTTGTTTTCTGCCACATTCCCGCAGGATGAGTACCCTCTGGCCAGCCTCCCTCTTCTGGGGTACTCAGTCACTGTTCCGGCCGAGTCGGAGAACATCCACAAAGATTACGTCTTCAAGCTCCACTTCAAATCCCACGTGTACTACTTTAGGTCGGAGAGCGAGTACACCTTTGAAAGGTGGGTGTCTATGAGGAATGTCACTGCCCCCGTGATGTCATCAAGCTGCGACGGGCGAGTCAAGGCCCCCAGCAGTCCCAGGTTTTAGTTTAGCGGGAAGGCGTGGGTGTGGATGGGAATATTAAACTAAATCCATCCTGGAATTATTGGAACTGCTTAATAGTTGATGATGATTTTCCATAACGAGGCAGGTTTCTGATTTAAACGTGAGGAAGACCTAAACGAGTCATTCCTGCCCTAACGCCAGCCTTTCTCCTCAGGTGGATGGAGGTGATCCGGAGCACCACCTGCTCCACCAGCCGCTCCCCGCTGAGCTCCAGGAAAGACCTTTACGGGTGACTCCGCCCCCTCAGCAGAAACTCGTTAAACACTAATCGATGAACTTTATCTTCACTGCCTGAATATTTTTCACTATTGTTTTTTCTGGCTGTTGTGTTTGGAGCAGCTGAGATGAGGTGCACGTGGGGAGTGGTGTGCACGTGAACACACTGCTAATGTCTGAGTAGGTGAAAGGTGACACACACTTTTACACACTCCGCTCTTCCTTGTACAGTATTTTGATACACTGTGAAGCTTCCTTGTGGTTGGTCGAAGACGACGAACCAGATTAAACTCTTCCGATCTGCTTCCAAACGCTCCGACTCGTTATTCAGACCTCTGCATCTTAGAGAAGAAACCACCTTCTTCAGCTTCATTCTGACCGCGACCACGCGGTCGTGTGTTAGAGCAGACATCAGAAACCAGCGCTGACGGGTCATCGGGTCTTGGACCGAGTGTGTATCCATGACTACAAACCGAAAGAGTTTAACAAACGTCTACCTGAGCAGGTAGAACAGGTCAGGCTACAGATCCAAAATAACCTGGAAACGAGTCTGAACCCGAACGGTAACCACTGCAGGGATGACGCGTTCCCTCCTAGTGCCGTCGGACTTCCACACGGAACCGGATGGAGGCGGGCGGACTCTACGGAGAAGGTCCTCTACAGGTGATGTGATGAACACAACCTTCGTCATTAAAGTCGTTCAGAAGACAGATCTTGGTTTAACGATCAGGCTCGACCCCAGCTGGTGATGGTGACCATTTATTTTATGTACCCGCCCCTTTTTAGTGTTGTAGGTTTTTATTTCATTATGAACTTGGCTAACATAGTTTAGCTCCATCATCATGATCTGTTCTGGAGGATTGGTCTTCTGTTGAGCCTAGTGGTTAGCCGTCCTGGGTACTTAGTAAAAGTACTAACAAGTCAGACTTTGAACTGTTTAAACCTTCTAGTATTAGCAGAAGGCAGCTGATGGTCCTCATCTCCAAACCTTGGGTCATAAATCATCCAGGAGGATCTGCTGCTCCCTGGTGGAGGGCTGCACCTCATCAGGCGAGAGACGGGGACACCTGGACACGTCTCCAGTCCAAGGGTTAGCTGGATTTGTTAGTGGGTGAGCTCAGCACCAGTGGAATGTGCTCATACCCCTCATACCTCTGATGCTCCTGAAGCGATGGTCCAGGACAAGCTTCTGATGAGAGGTGGCCAGAGGCACTTAGGTGATCGTTTCATGCTGACATGCATGTGACGGCGGGTTTGAAGGAGGATGCTGCTTCTCCTACAGAAATAAATCTTATTTTGAAAACTTACCAGACAAATCTGTTCCACACCAGCTGCCTCTCCTTGCTGGAGGTGACATCACTGGTTGTCAAATGCAAGAATTATGACTTCTTTGAAGTTCAGTAGCGACCAGATCTCCATATGACGCTCGGACCAACGACCTTGCTGTTGTGCTACTGGGACCGGTTACCGGTAGGTCAAAGGTCAGTCTGTTCATCTCGTTTCTGCGTGGTTCTGATGCGGACCCTAACCACTGCTCCACTAAACCCAACCAGCTACCGATGACGGTTGTTTCCTGAAGCTAGTTTTGAGTTTTCAGGTTTGTGTTTCTGGACTTATTGCTCATTGACTGTTATCTCGTTATTTGGCTGTGACGTAGGAGGACCCCGTTGGAAACCAGACGGTGTCATCAGCGTTTCCAAAGTCAAGCGTGACCTCTGAACTCAGGTCATCTCTGCTGAAAAATTATTAGTTTTGGTCAAACTTTTGAAGGAAGTGTTCAGAACCAGCTTGGTCAGCACAAGCCACGAAGACTCAGATGTTGTCTGCTCCACAGGAGGTGTCAAAATGAGTTAAAGTCCCCTTCACCCATGACATGAAGTAGGAGGACACCAGCAGACTTTATGATGTTTATGCTTCAGATATCATTTATAATCATTTATGTTTTAATCAAGTTAAATAATTTACATAATCAAAAGGAAACATGATTTTAGATAATCTGATGTTTGATTTTCATCAAGCTGAATGATTTAAATAGTTGATTTAGTTGGGATTTAGATTTTCATGTTGAAGAATAAATGAGAAGAGTTGACCAGCAGCAGAGTTGGGCCAATGAGGAACGTAGCTTAACCACATTTGAGCCAAGAGGCCGTTGAAGGAAGTCACATACAACTGAAGAGGTCTTGGATACTTTCCAGACTAACACAAGCAAACAGATGAGCTGAGTCACTTCAATAAAGGATGTCTCCTTTTATGGAAGCCCAACGCTGGACCAGCTCCAAGGGTGGAAAACGAGGAGAGAAGCGCAGACGTTGGTTCGTCCACTCGCGTCTTCCAGAGCAGCCACACTGGCTGTAGAAGACCGAAGACAATGTCCAGAGGTCAAACCCTATTAGAGATGCTCTAGGTTAGAAGTTCAACTGCCATTTTCTAAGGTTGATGTGGTTCCATCGGGTTCTAGCTTTTACTTTAAATCTATTTTTCCATCGAGTCGGGACCGAGACGGTCGATTGGAGTTGGGAGTAGAACGGTTGATCACCTGCCTCGAACAGCAGGAAAGGGAAGAGGATCCTTACAATGTATTATGTCGGCTTTCCTCGGTCCATCCACCCAAATTAAGGATTATTTACAAAGAGTTCAGCCATTTCAGCTCTGCTATGAATGTGAGTGTGAACACCATCAGTAAATTCATTCAGATTTATTATTATTGTTGATTTTAACCAGTCGTGATGTTTGAGCTGTTTGCCTGCCCTGGCTAGAAGCTGTGCTTAATAAAGTTACAGGCTAGATAAAGTGTAGTTGTGTGGTCCATTCCATGGTGGTAAAGCAAGTTATTTATATATTCAGATATACTAACATTTAAAGATTTAATTCAACTATATACAGCGACGTTCATGTTTAAAGTGCATAGGAAATTATTACCAAACAAATTATTAATGCTATTTATAAAACCAGATAACCTATAATTTCAGATACAAACTTAACTTTAGGCATACATATTTTAGAACAACATTAAAGTCATTTTGTATTTCTGTTACGGGTGTAAGAGTTTGGAATAAGCTAGGTGAGGATCTAAAGCAAAGTCCCTCATTGCATAAGTTTAAAGAAGTATAAAAAAATTATACTAATTAATTACATGGAGGAGGCGGAAAGGTTGTAAGGGTGTTGCATTTGATTGTAATTGTCTATAAGAACATAAGAAAACATAAATGTAAATTTTGTTTGTGTGATTGAGGATAAAACATGTTATAGGAAAATGGCAATGACACTCAGTGTAGGGAAAATATATATATTTTTGTTTTATCTTTCTTGAAATTTGATTTGGGGGGGGATTTTATAAGCTACCAGAGCTTCGTTCCCTTCCTATTGAACATGTTCTACATATACATATATATATATATATATATATATATATATATATATACATATACATATATATATATATATATATATATATATATATATATATATATATATATATATATATATATATATATATATATATATATGTGTGTGTGTGTGTGTGTGGGTTTCTTTTTGGATACTTTTTGAATGCTTTGGGTTGTTTATTGATTTGCATATTCAATAAAGAAAGAAAGAAAGGAGGGCTGGAAAAAGTTACAGCTACAAAAGTACCCATCCTCACATGATCTTCAGTGTCTGTCTTCTCTTAATGTAAATTTGAGGCCATGATCTCCATAAGCATCGTAGTTCTCGTAGGTCGGAAGTGAAAGCCAGTCGGGTTGGTAGGTTGTGGTGCTGTACACAAACGCTTCTGTCTGGCTTCCTGGTGGCTTCTCCTCCCTGTTTCCCACCCACTCCTTGATCTCCAGGTCCACAACGGTCCTCTGGTACTGGGTGGGAATGCACTCGAAGTCGTCCAGGTATTTCAGCATCTTCGTGTCTACTTGGTAGAGCTCCCCATGGACCCTCTGGCCCTTTCCAGGGAGGTTGAGGAGGAACGGTATGTTGTACTTGCCAGCAATCACGAGTGGGTATCTCTGGGTGGTGACGGCTGTGCCGAGGAACTCTGCTTTCCCGTTGTTTCTGTCCAGCACATAGCAGTAGTTAGGCTGACCCTTCTTCAGGGAGCCATAAAAAAAGACACAGGCCATGAGGTCAGAGGGGACCTGCAAAACAACGAGAGGAACAAAACATGTTGGTGTCAAAGCATGAACTTGAAATGGTTCTCCATGCTGTTATCTCCTCCCGTCTAGATTACTGTAACACACTTTTCACACGTTTTAACAAAAAAGCCCTTGACCACATTCAGCTGGTCCAGAACTCTGCAGCGAGGCTCCTAACTGGAGCAAACAGAAGAGCACACATCACTCCTATTCTAATGTCTCTGCACTGGTTACCTGTTAACTTTAGAGTTCATTCTAGAATCCTGACTAGAACTTTTTATGCTCTACATGGTCAAGCTCCTTATTACTGAATTGTTTAAGGCCTTATGCTCCAACCCGAGCCCGCAGGTCCACACACCAGAATCTTCTAGAAGTTCCAAAGACCAGATATAAAAGTTGAGGAGATCGCTCCTTTCAGACTGTTTGCACCCCGACTCTGGAATGATCTTCCTTTATCCTTACGCAGCATTGACAGTCTGGACACTTTTAAAAAGCAGCTAAAGACCCTTTTATTTAAAGCTGCTTTTAACTAAACCTTTTATTTTCTTGTTTTTAACTCACAATTTTAATCTTTAATCTGTTTATGAAAATTTATAATTTGATGACTTTATTTTTTCTGATGTTAATCTAGTTCTGTTTTGAGAGCATTTTGATTTTATGATGTTAATCTATTTATGATTTTATGACTTTGTTTTATTTTGATCTATGTGAAGCACTTTGTGATTCTATGTCTGTGATACGTGCTATATAAATAACATTTACTTACTTACTTACAAAACTTTGATGGGATTTATTTGGTTTCTGCAGGTGGAGGCTCAGCCCAAGTCCCGCCCATCTACTTTTACTTCTAATGAATGAGCGTCTTAAGACTTTTTAACCCGGACAACTTTATCAGTCATCCACCTCTCCACCTCCAAACCCACGTTTCCCGTATTTTCCATCCACAAATAAAACGTCTGCCACGTGTGTTTGAACTGCTTCACTCATGGGTGTATTAACGTTTACACTATTCCTGCAAGATGTCTTCAATCTGTTCCACCTGTTAAAAGTGTGCACCACACATATTACTGGTGGTAGTCTAGGTACTGTGGAGGAAAGGAGAAACCAGCAGAAACACGTTGATCACATTAAACCAATAATGAATAATGCTCATCATCCTACGACTGTCCGGCGCTTTATTAAACTGGTCTGATAAGTCCAGATGGACCCTGGTCCAGAGTGATGGTGCATCAGGGTAAGAAGAGAGGCAGACAAAGTGATGCACCCATCATGCCTAGTGCCTACTGTACAAGCCTGTGGGGGCAGTGCTATGATCTGGGCTTGCTGCAGGTGGTCAGGTCTAGGTTCGGCAACAGGAAGTGCTCCAAAAATGAGGTCAGCTGACTACCTGAATATCCTGAATGACCAGGTTATTCCATCTTCCCTGATGGCAAGGCCATATTCCAAGATGACAATGCCATGATTCATTGGGCTCAGATGGTGAAAGAGTGGTTCAGGGAGCATGAGACATCCTTGTCACACAGGGGTTGGCCACCACAGAGCCCAGACTTTAACCCCATTGAGAATCTTTGGGATGTGCTGGAGAAGGCTTTGTGCAGCAGTCAGACTCTACCATCATCAATGCAAGATCTTGGTGGAACATTAATGCAACACTGGATGGAAATAAATCTGGTGAAGCTGCAGAAGCTAATCGAAACAACTCCATAATAAATGTGTGTTGTAGTCAAAGCTAAAGGTGGTCCAACCGAATTTTAGAGTGTGTGAGCTCTTTTGGCCAGGTGGTGTATAATAGTCACATAACAATAGTCTAAGAACAAGGTTGGGCATTTATGGGTAACTACCTTTTAAAAGGTGTTTACTGTTAGTTTGCTGCTGTGCTGTTTCCTCATGGTGTTCATAAACATCTGTAAAGCTGCTCAGGTCAGATAAGCATCTGGTTAAACCCTAACCTTCTCTTTCTACAGTCACTGAGTTAAACTAGACCAGAACATGCTTTTGTGCTTTCTAAAATTCAGAGGTGGAAAGAGTACTAAAATGTTGTACTTAAGTACAAGTATAATTACTTTCATGAAATTTTACTCAATTACAAGTAAAATTACCTGCCTCAAAATGTACTCAAGTAAAAGTAAAAAGTAGCTTATTTCAAATGTAGTCAGAGTAAAAGTTACTTAGTTACTTTTTTGACTGCAAGGACGGGCTCTTCTGAATAGTTAAAAAAAAGGCAATGGGGTATAAATGTCAAAGTGGCAGTTTTTTTAATTAAATGAACAAATATGCATATTGAAGTACAAAGGCAGTTACACTGCAAACTAGTAACATAAATTAGGTTATAGTCACAAGCCCATGACTTTTCCCTGAATGCTTATTTAGAGCAGCTGATTTTTAAAGTTAGCAGAGTTCATCTTTGGTAGTGGGTTCACTCACTCATTTAAAGATATCGGCCAGAGGCAAAATTTGTTTGAACAGCATGTGTAAATGTGTATTAAAATCTCAGATGAAAAAGGTTTTTGGATTTTGACGGCTGGAATTGTAAGAAAATCTGATGTTTGTGACTGGCGCAGGAAAAACAGAAACTAACTTCCAGTCTAAGCCCTGGGCAGCTGGTGACGTTTCACATGGAGCTCTGCTGAAACAGCTGTAGTAAACAACGCCTGGCTCCGCTGTTTCTGCGTTAGCGTTATAGCAGAGAACAATGTGTCATCAATCAGATGTAGCTTCTGAAGCCTCTACTAGTCCATCAGATTTGTTTTTTCTCTGGGATACGGCGACGAGAACGGATGTTAGATTACTGGAGAAGTTCAACCGAACTTCGACCCCGCCAGCTGGATATCACTACAAGAGGTGCAGACATGTTTTAGACCGTTTGACTCAGAAGACCTGCGACCTGATTTGGACATAGAGGAGGATTCTGTTCATCTTCAGAACCAAAATCGGTACAGTTTGTTTACTTTTCTTAAATATTTCATTTCTGTGCTCCACTGGGAGCTCTAAGCTGGCAAGTTTTCAGCTGGTTTTAGCTCCATCATGTGTCCCAATATAGTTCAGTAATCTACAGTTTTACTGCTGTGTGTATTTATTGACATAACTCTGGAAAATAATGAACCTAAAATTGACCAGAATAAATCTTCCTGATGTTGGAGTAACTCCTTAGCTCAATTCGTTGTTTGCACTAATCCAGGATGTCATGGAGGTTCTAATGTTGAAATATAGAGATCATCTTTTAGATTATATCTCTGTGTGTGTGTGTGTGTGTGTGTGTGTGTGTGTGTGTGTGTGTGTGTGTGTGTGTGTGTGTGAGTGCATGCGTGCGTGTGTGTGTCGTAGCTTTCCCAAAGGACTTGTTCTTTCCTTACCAGAGCGAACACGGTTAGTTTTGCTGCAGTCATGCTAACGGGACTCGTCTGGAGTCCAGAAGTAGCGGTGCGGTTCTAGATGGATTTATAGATGTAGGTTATTATTTTAGATCAGACCTGTTATTTAAAAATGCGTGTAGGACATAGACACATGGCTCAGACCTTTTGCTGCAGCTGTAAACGCAATTTTACGTAATAATTACGAGCATGAAAGTAAACAAATAACAGTGATTCACAATATTAGCATCAGCAGCTAGCTTGTTTTACGTGCTGGAGTGACGTATGCGAAACACAGTTCTTCACTGTCTGGAGGAGAGGATTTGGATTTTCTGTAATCATTTATGACAAAAGTCCTTAATAAAATAAAAAACTGGACCCAGTACATGTTTATATAGATGGTAAAGTGTAGTTATTTTGCGTTTCTACAATTTTAATGCCGAGCCAATACCTTTAACCCTTCACCACTGAAATCAGTTTGTTCATTCCAATCCTCCTAAATAATCCTGTCAGAACAGGCCGTGGGAGCCCAGGTGTTACTAGAACTAATGGTGTCTCCTCACCAGGGTGAGCCTCCAAACTGTGAAGGTTGGTCTCCAAACATGAACTTCAAATTCATGCATTTATCTCCTCTTGTAACACTTTAACATGTTTTAAAAGGCTTGCATCATGATATGTTACACCTCCCAGACCAAAGATAAGATAAAACATTATCATAAACACTGCAGAGACGTCATTGTTTATTAAATACAAGTTATTTTCCTGAGCCATTACTTCAGCCAAGATATTGGATGCATGGATTTGATGAAGCCATGCTGTCTTATGCAGACCTACACACACACACACACACACACACACACACACACACACACACACACACACACACACACACTGTAGCATGTTAGAATCATTTGAATGACTAATTTAACTAAACTGAACTGCTTTAGTAATAATTTAATCTCTTATTCTGGAGTAAAATAAAGAAACAAGCTAAATCATCACATATCTGTGGCATCAAGAAGCATCTTCTGAGTTCAAACACAGGGATGGAGCACAATGTTTACACCTGAACAGTATCAGGATTAACTCACAGAGGCCTGCAGGTCTTCTGTTTTATGAGCAGAGCGCTGAGAATCCGCTTCTTAGGAGCGCTAAACGTAATTTTGCCGCTTCCGTGCGCGGTATGGAAACACATTTCAAACAGGAACCGAGTCTGGTTGCCGAACCGAGCAGAATTCTGATGACGTCACACCGGTGCGCGAAGGTGCAGGTTCCAACCCACAGGAGAGGAGGGAGAGAGGAGGTAAACAGCGAGTGGCTCACAGAACTTTTGTTTTTGAGCAAAACTGCGGTAAAAATGGCTGTTTGTCCTCATCATAAAGCGTGTAGCCCCCCCTCCCCGGTTTAGACGTGGTGCTCATGCAGGTGTCTCTTTCTTTTCCGACGCTGCTACACTTAATATTTTTAATTTATTAAGCCTACAATTTATTTTTACTCAGTAACGGATATGATTTAAAATGTAGCGAATTACAATTCTTTTTTAAAAACTTACTCTATTAAAAGTAAAAGTACAGATTTTAAAAACGACTTAAAAAGTATAAATTTACAAAAAAGCTACTCAATTACAGTAACGTGAGTAAATGTAATTCGTTACTTTCCACCTCTGCTAAAATTTTATCTATAAAATCAGCCTAGTTACCATGACCCTGCTGAACCAACCAACCCGTCTACATCTGATCCTGGTTCATCATCACTGACAGACGCAGCATAATGTACAAGCTGCGCGTTTCAGGAAACATAACCAGTGGGTTAATGCACATAACTCAGCTCTCTAACCAGTGTGAATCAAGCCGTAAAACTGACGTTAAACACGTAAAAACTATCCACAGACAACAGCTGATGACAATAAAAGTTAGGGGGGGGGGGTGCCTCAACGAGTCTTTTAACAAATAAACTATTACAAACGCGCAGAGCAGCATTACCTGGATAAAGAAGAGGTCTGATGTAAGAAACCACAAGCAACGCGAGGCTACAGACATCACACGTACACGCCCCGTGGGCTGATGCTGCCGGAAACTTTATTTGGAATCGTAGTACGTTCAAGGAAGATCCCGCCTTTCTTGCCTCTGATTGGCTAGAAGAGCTCTAGTACCATTGGCTATTTAATTTAGCAACAAACCATCTTCCCTCGCTAAGAGCAAACTGTCCTCCCGCCACAAGAACAGCTGTTTTTATTTTTTTTAAGAAAATGCGAATTTTAGCGCTTTAACAACTGCAGAGTGTTCCACCGACCACCAGGATGCACTGCCGTCAGGTAAAAGGATGACGTCTGGGATGTGACTGCAGTCACGTGCCGCTACTCATCCACTACGTGATTGTCTGCACACAGTTAATTTTCGTCGTCGTTTTTCCAATAAGCTAGTGTTGGTTTGGTCTTAAAAATGCGACATTTATGTATAAATTGTTTGCACAAAATTAATAACACATTAACACCACAATTAACTTTCTTTTCTTTCAAAAACACTCCAAACATGATCATATTTAAGGTAAATGGTGTAATTTGAATCCCACTGGAACAAAGCCAGGCATGAAAATCCAACCAAAATATTTGTATAAAATTGCACAAAGAAATAGATGGTCTAAGTCCTCCTCTTCTGTTTCACAAAATACACAATTACCAGCTTCTGTACTAAATCTATCCCCAAGGAGTATTTGTTGGGTAAATTTTATTCAAAATTTTAAATTGGACTTCTTTCCCTTTAGGAGGGATAGGGAAGGTGATATATTCTTATTTTTTCAATTTCTTCCCTTTGGAAATCTTTTAATATGTAATTACATCTAAGCAGGCGTGTTGCAAGCTTTTCAAAAGTGTGGGGGACGTTGTCTGTGCCTAAAATAATTTCATGTTATTCGTTTAATTTCCCTAATAGTGGAGCTGGTGTGAACTTTAGACGTGTCACGCATGTCTCTGTTTTAAACAAGTTTAAACTGTTCAGAATACAAATCCAGGCTCTGTCTCGTTAGATTGGTGTAACTAAAGTTTGTACTGAATGAAACTTTACATTAAACCATGATGAAAAGAAAAGTATCCGATTAAATCGTTTCCCCCTCATTTACAGTCACGGAGTACAGCGCAGTGCGCATGGCTCTGGGGTTAATCAAGTTTAATTGTGTCTCTTTGCAACAATCTTCACAGGAAGGCAAAACAGTAAAATGGCAGGTTACAGATATTTCCATTTGACTGCATTTTGACAGATAAACTCAAGGATGTTGGTTGTTTTGAAAGAATTACCCCGACACACACTGATGCACACACAGATGAGCTGACATTTTAATCGTTACGCACATCGCGGAGGTAACTAAATCAATCAAGAAATGATTCCCATCAGAACATCAGAGCTTTATACTGGACACTGTGTTCAGCGTGGATCGGAGCGTCCACGGTGGACAGTGAGCTGAAGATCTGTAGAGGGGTTCGCAGCGCAGTGCAGAACCACTGCGCATGCGATAAGATTTCCTGAAGCGGTCTGGAAAGCCGGTCTCGCTGAGGGATGTGTCACTTGGAAAATGTTCTCTGATTATGAAACTTTGGCTGAATAGTGCTTGTTTTCGTCTCTAATATGGAGACGCATGATGCATCCAGTCTGAGGCAGAATAGCCTCTTCAGCTCAGAAAGCATCTGTAGAGACATTTGATCATGCACAAAGTTTATGTGGAGCAGAAAAGGTCGGGCCACGGCAGGTGAAATGTTCCTAGCCTACATGAAGTGAAACTGTCTAACTGTAACATTAATGTGTTACTGGACACGCTGGTCTGGTTGGTTAGACCAGTGTTTGAAGTGGAAAACACGCGCGCACACACACACACACACACACACACACACACACACACTGCACCTGTGGGCATTCCACACCTGCTCCCATCAGTTCAGATTAGTGCCTCTGGGAGGTACTACGATGGGAAAGACCATTCAAAACACAAAATAAACATGTCAACAATAATGAGGCAAATCATGCAACTTAAACTAAAAACCAAAACCTTTCCACTTTGTGACAATTACCAAGTGACTGGTGATTAATTGGTTACTAGTGAGCAATGAGTGTCTAACTAGTGACTAATCAGTGACTAACTAGTGACTAATGATCAATGGGTGACTAACTAGTGACTCATTATTACCAAGAGACAAACTAGTGACTAGTGATCAATTAGTGACTAACTAGTGACTAGTGATTAATTAGTGACTAACTAGTGACTAGTGATTACCAAGAGACTAGCTAGGGACTAGTGAGCAATTAGTGACCAACTAGTGACTAGTGATTAGTGACTAACTAGTGACTAGTGATTACCAAGTGACTAACTAGTGACTAGTGATATTTTAGTGACTAACTAGTGCTTATTGGCCTTTGCGTTCTTGAACTTTAGTGCTGTGAGGCTGCTTGAGCCTGTAAAATGGTTGGTTAGTTTAGTTAAAGAAGGCTCATATCTAATGACAAACGTGTCCTCGTTTGGCTGACCCGTCCTTCACTTGATGAAGCAGTTGGATTTATGAAAGTACGTTTGAAAGGCTGAGGGATGCACTGGTGAATGACAGGTGAGCTGATGAAGGCTGGTGGAGAATTACAGGTAAAGAGATGATTTCTTTAGTTGTTCAGTCATGTCTACAGGTTCTGTCTTTACTGTCTGATGGTAAATGAACAAATGTCTAAATGTGAGACTACAGCATTTTTACAGAATAGTCTTCCATACTAAAGGCCCGTCACAGAATAATCAATGAATACAAAAGAAATGTTATTAAGCTCAGGATCCTCGGTATGTTTCTAGTTTGTCTTTGTGATGGGTCAGGGGTTCTTCCTCAGCTGTTGGCAGAGAGGCTGCAGCCCTCTGCTTCTGCTCTCAGCTGAAGCTCTGATCCTAATGATGGAAGCACTCCTGGATGTGCTTGACTGACCTGATCAGCTGTTCAGGAGGAGTTATCCACAAACAGGAGCTAGACTCGGTGTCTGAGTGCAGTCCAGGAGGTGTTGGGGCTGCAGCTTCTCTCTCAGGTGGCCTCAAGTCAGACTGTAGCACTTCAGACAGGCAGAGGAGGGTCACATGACTTCTTTAGTCTTCTATCATCTTTAACGTTGATTCAGAGCAGCATGGATCCTGGCAGAAGGTGCTGCTGCCCTACAAAAACCGCGTGCAGATAAAATATGGGTTTGAAAAACACCAGAGGTAAAGCTGGACTATCTCATCTATCGGATGATGGACCTAGCAGGTAGCTGATGATGCTGCACTGGGCCAGACGTGGGAATATTACTGTACCTTCATGTTATAATGCAGGGTTTGCATGCAGTCATATCCAGAATCAATAAAGGTAGATTTGTGTTGCCTTTTCCAGAGAGAAGTTCCTCAGTTATGTACGTTAACCACATAGAGGAAACGGTTCAAACAGACCACCAGTGTTTAGCACGACTTTGGGTCCTCCTGTTTCCGTGTGCCCAGGTGAGGACATGTCTGCCTTTACCGGACAGTAAATATCAGGTGTTTAGTGACTTTAGTCTGAGTGATACTTCTCACAGCAGGAAGCCACACTCCAGTTTGACAGTTTAATACAGACACGCTACAGTTAACCTGAAGAAGAAATGACGTCATTCCCCCTTGACGAGCCAGAGGAGGGTATCGCTGCAGACCCGGAGACCGCAGGTTCAGGCTTGTACCGTTTTTGAGACAGCGCTGCCCACTGTTTGCTAGCATTCCAAGATGGAGTACGATTGGAGAGCAAGTATAGAACGTGGAGAACAGTATTTGTTTAATTAGTAAGAAGGAAGAAAACCAAAAACATAATGGACCATCCAATAGGATGTTGAGCTCCACACTAGTTCTACTCCAAAGGGACACTCAGGGACATCTCTTGATTTTTCTTTTCATCAACTTTTATTTTTCAACTCTGAGATTTGTTGGTTTCAAGTTGATCAATGCATGATTTCATCAGGCTGATAACCTTCAAAGCACATAAACAAAGGTTAGCAACAATATTTTGTAAACATTTCAAAAGTAAAAAATAAAATACATCAATCGAACATTTCAGATAAATAAACCATTGTAAATTAAATGAAAGAATTAACTTTACTTTAAAGTACTTCAAATGAATTAATAAAACCCCTTAACGAATTAAGTTAAATCAAGGAATCGAACAGTAAAGGGAACACCTTAACTGAATATTTCATCAAGTACCACATCAAGTAACAAAACAAATAAATCAACTGCCTTCAAGCTTGTTAATTAATGCTTTTAACCTTTTACCTTGCTAAACACATAAATTACCTATCCAACAATCACTCTCTTCAATCAAATCACTATGATAATGCAGTGCTTCAACTTACTCAGACAACCAGAAAACTCTCCAGGTACAACTTAAACACTTCACTAACATAAACCAGAAATATTTACCAACCATTGGTGTCTTTAGAGTAAACTTCAATAGTAGAGCTTGCTGTGCTGTTCCTGTTAGACTGAGGACTGAGAGCCACCATCCTGCATAGGTGTTTTTCATCAGCAATCAGCCGCCTTTTTGTTGGTGCTTTCTGGGAGATGTAGTTCTCAGTGGTGGTGGCCCAGTTAGACCTCAACCCAACACCAATAATAATGCAGCTGGGTTTTAAATAAAAATTTACTTTAATGAAATGTATTCAGTTTATCATTGCAAAGTTCCACAGCATTCTGCAATGAATTAATGAGCCAAATGTGTTTTGGTCCATCAAGGTGTTACGAGGTGGTTGATCTAAGAATGTCCAGAACCAAGACAATTGGAAAAAGTTTATTTATTTATTTATTTATAATTTTGTTTCTACAAACAACTTAAATATAACATAAATATGATAACAGCTTTTATTATTAAAAGTTACTCAGGATTTTTCAAAGTTGTATTCTGAGAACAACTTCACTGAAGCTTTAACAACGAATAAACTATTTTTAATAAGCTCCACCAACAATTACACATTTTATATGTAACTGTTAAACTGTAGAAGCTTGAATCTACGCTGTGTCCGAATCCAGAGGTAGGATGCTTGTAAGAGCGCATTTTGAGGTCGATGACGTCAAAGCGCAGCGACGAGTACTGTCCGAATTCCAAGAATCCTCATTCTCGCGTCCTCAAACGCGTCCTCACTCCACCCACATTTCGAGGATGGGTCTGATGGATCCTCACAGGAGCAAGGGTATCCCAGCATGCTTTGCGTGCCGGCCACTGGACTCGACACTCGCAACAACGGCGGACGGAGCGGGACAGCAGTACAGCTTAAAATGTAAGTTAGTTAAAAAATAGCGGTCAAAAAAAATAAAATACGTGTTTGGGCACTTTTGGATTGTTTTTTATATAAGATCTAATACCGCAAATTGTTTTTTTCATGTAATTTAAGGCTAAAACATGCCCCACCGAAAACCAGCTTGAATGTTTAATAGGAAAAAACCCACCGTAAACTAGCTTGATCCCAGCAGGCTTTTTAAAAGAAAATAGCAGTAGAAAACTAAGCTGAAAGCGGTTCTGTTTATAGACATCTTTCGTTTGTATAAGTAGATTTTAAGCAGAAATCAGCGAGAACGAGCTTGTATGGTGGTCCCGTCATAATTCCCGTGCCGTGTGTGTGCTTATTTAGCGAATAAAGCTTCTCATCATTTGTTTTAAGGTTAACACCCCACCCAAGGACGTAATTTTCACTTAAGAAGTGGAGGGGACACTGGGGAAGGGGGGGTATCTTTACAGTATGTTCTAATGAGAAACAGACTTCAACACAAATGGTTGTTTTCCGCTTGGTCCTAGAGCTCAACCAGTGTCAGTTTAATATAGCGTAATATTGTTTTTGAATGGTAAAAAGTGCAGGGGTCAAAACTTGACTTTGGAAAAGGTGGTGGGGTGGTGGGGGGGACATGTCCCCCCTGTCCCCCCAAAAAATTACGTCCATGACCCCACCGTACACTTGCTTGAAAGTCTAATAGGAAAAAACTCACCGTAAAAGATTTTGCATCTTATGTAATCATGTAACGAACGCCAAAAATAACGAAAACTAAGTTTAATGTTTAAGTTAATTTTTAAGAAACCACATTACTGATTTAATGTTTTTAATTTCATTGTAGGCGAAAAAAAACACAGAACACAATTTTCATCTCCCATGTTGATAAATTAAAATATTGTTTATTGCATGTTTTATCAACTATGATTTATAATCTGACTTTGTTCTTCTATTCCTCTCTATTCTCATCCAGAACCAGTACCTTTAAGGAGCATCTGTAATTTCATTATGCCCACAGTGTTCTCTGTTGTTAAATGACAATAAAGCCTTGTAATTCTAATTCCCTTTGTCTGTAGGACTGCAAGTGTCCAGGGTCAGGAGAGGGAGTCAGCGGAAAGCACACTGCTGAATGGACGAGGTGTTGGGACAGAGGCCTTCCACTATGCCTCCTGTCCTTATTGCTTCCATTCCCGAGGACACTCCAGGGCCAAGTGCAGCAGTGGGTGAGACAGAGGACAGGGAGAGTGGTGGAAGGAAGCCGGACTCCTCATCAGGGAGAAAAAGGAGAAGGGCTGATGAGCTCCTTGACCTGATCAGGGAGGACATGAGACAACAGAGGGAAGCGGAGGAGAGGAGAGAAAGAAGGATGGACAGATTTTTAGCATTGATGGAAAGGATGGCAGAGAAATGTTTTTTTTTCTTTTAGTTTCTTCTGGTTCAGGTTCTATATATGTGTTTGAATGTTTTTGTTATTTGTTTAAATGTAATAAAATTTCTATTAATTGATAACTCTTTTTTGATCATTAACAGTTTTATTCAGTTTTTAACAAGTAACAACATAATAAATAAATTGTAAGGGAACACTGTGAGGAATAAAAGTAAAGATAAAAGTAAAATGTATACAGTAAACTTGGAAAGCAGGGAGTCTTTGGTGGTGTTGCTAAATCTACTAAACATGGATCATCGAGGTGGATGGAGTGCAGGAACCGAGATCCGTGGCTGAACGTTTCTGGTTGGCAAGTGGAACATCAGACAGAGTGGTCTGCAGAGGGTGCTTCTGGATGCCTCATCTCACTGACCACTGCATCGTCCATCAAAAGGGTTTGCTGGGCTGGCTCAATCAACGGCTGTCACATCACTAACATTCAGATATATGCAAAAAAGGAGATCATGAGTATAATACTTGTAACTCTAGCAGATAACAGGACTAAATGATTTTTAAACTTTAACTACAAAGGCCGGTGACGTTTATTGAGCCGTCGCAGCTCCTCAAAAACCACAAATAAAATGAAATATTGCTGTGGATCCATTTTCAACGTTGCTACTAGCTTGTTAAGCCTGATTTATGCTTCTCCGTCTGCGTCAGTACGGAGACACGCAACGCCATTAGCCTGTTTGCCGCCGTCGCCGCCGTCACGGTAGCTAGGCAACTGGACCTGGGGGCGGGAATAAAAACGAGGCTAGTACTGTCCGAATTCAGAGCCAATGACTTCCGGTTTTAGCGGTCTAGCTAGACCGGCGAGGACCCGTACTCACAAGCATCCTACCTCTGGATTGATTCGGACACAGCCTACATCAGCCTTCAATCTGCAGTTGCACGTTAGTCCTTTAGAGGTCGCTGTCTCAAAAACAGTACAAGCCTGAATCTGCAGTCGGCCTGAATCGGCGGTCTCCGGGTCTGCAACGCACATCGCTGAGCACATCGCGTGTAAGCTCCGCCCACTCAGCGCGCGAAACCATCTCACCGGGAATTCTGATGAGATTGCGTACAACGTGCAGAACGTCTGTCCACGAGGGACCTCCGGGACTCCAAATCAACTTTATCCTGTAGGTAGCTGTTAGCTGTGTGTTAGCCATGCGAATTATGAGGAACTGAGCTAGCTAAACAGTGTTCAGCAGGTGGAGGTGAGTTGATAGGACCTTGACACACGGTTTTTGTTGTTCAATAAGAGTTCGTGTTAAATGTGGCCACACTGCTAGGCTAACGGCTACAGATAGCATCATTAGCCTCCAACCCTACAGCTAAGTACCCAGAGATTTTTTTAAAACAGGTTTTATTAACTTGTTGTCAATACATTCAGAAAATACATTCAATATATCCATGGATCACAATTTACAGTTGTTTACAATTGCAATAACATACATGCAACATTAGGAAAATATTAAACAAAAAAAAAAAAGAAATAAACAAAAAACTGACGAAAACATAAATAACTTAGAAACATAACACTTAGGGGTCTGCTGTGTCTAAGTTGAAATGATGAAATAAGTTGATGGTCTTTGTTAGTTTATTGTTCTTCTTTTTTAATTTGTCAATGCTGTTCCAATATTTCATAAGGTCTGTAATTCTGAAATTATAGGAGGGGATACTTTTCTGAAAAATCATTTTATGTAAATAATATTTTGCTAAAATAATGACTAAGTTAATTATGTATTTTTCATTGGATGATAAATGAGGGTTAGTAACAATAAGAAGTATTTCACATTTGCTTAAAGAAACATTTTTTTGTAACTTTCTGGAAATGTATCTTTGTAAATGGAACCAAAACAAATTTACATGAAAGCAATCAACAAAAACATGTTCAATAGTTTCTCCCTTACAACCACAAAAAGTACAGATGTCAGAAACATTTGGAAAAAAAATACAGATGTTTGCTTTTGACGGGTAATATCTATGAACAATTTTGAATAAAACTTCTTTTATCTTATCCACAATGACATATTGGTGAGGTAGCAGAAAGATCCTGTTCCAGAGTTTTGTATTCATCAAAGTCCATCGGTGTTTACATATCGGGGTTGAGACAGGATCAATTGCTTTTCTAATAACAGAATTATTACATTTCTTATCTGTGATTGGAATCCCAGAAATAGTTGGAGGTCTGACTGCTGCAGACAAGATAATGTTTGATTGTATGGTCTGTGCTGAAGAGAAAATACAATAGGGCTGCAACAACGAATCGATAAATTCGATGAAAATCGATTACTAAAAGCGTTGGCAACGAATTGCGTCATCGATTCGTTGTGTCGCACAACTCTTCCAAAAGCGCCCCCCCCCCCTTCCCGCCCGCCGTTGCGCGCAGACAGATCAGCGCGAGGGAGAGACAGCAGTTGTTTGGAAGAGGAACATGGCAGAAGCAGCGAGAGTCAAAAAAGTTAAAGCTTTTTAAGTTTGGGAGCATTTTCAGTTAAATCAGGCGAAGACATGCGTTATCTGCAACGTTTAGGTCAAACTTGGCATAGCACGGGATGATGCAGCGTCTTAAACGCAAGCATGTTGGGATCATCAGCGAGGAAGGAGAGAACTCTTGTGTCCGGGTAAATAAAAAACTTTTCAAAAGTGATTCATCCAAGTCCCGGATTATTACACAGGCTAGACATGCCCTAAGCTCGTCAAAAAAGAGTCTAAAGTCGTGAGCGCAACGCTTATTAGATGAGCGGGGGGACTCGCGCTGCTGCGAACCGGTTCCGCCCAAGGCCGGATTAACTGGGCAATTGCCCAGGGCCCACGAACTCTAAAGGGCTCAGGGCACGAGCAAAATACTGTATCTATAATTTCCCGCTTTATGAGGACTATGGTGACCGTACGTTCCGTTTTCCCCAGACATGTCCACTTTTCACTCTCTGTCCGGCGCGTCCGGACTGCGGGTTCTTGTATTGATGAAAATGTCCGGCTTTTCATCCAGGAGCAGGGATCGAATTATGGGGGAGCTGTATATCCTACACATCCGGGGAGCCGGAAAAATGTTTTCTATATTATATCATTTATATCATTTTTGGACTCTTTTGAGCAGAGAGCGGCACAGCGCATTGCTGCGCAGCGATCCAGGCAGCTGCTTCCAGCGCACGGTCCATTCTCAAAGTGGCGCAACCAAAAAACTATAATTAGCACACGATCGTTCATGTCTGCACATGTTCTCTATTTTCTGTCTTATTTGTGCCTGCAGCGCTCTGCTACTGCGGAGCTCATCACCTGTGCTGCGGTGATTTCACCTCACGCAGCATCGAAAACGCGCTCTGCGCTTTGCGGTCAGGAGATCCCTTTGATCTGCTCAGAAGTAACTGATGAGGTGAAAAGCTAAGAATCCAGGCAGCAGTTTTTCTGGAGAATTAAGAGGAGATGCAGGAAGATGAGAGACAGACAGGGCAGGAAAATAGTTAAATAAAAACAACAAAACAAAGTGTTGAAAAGTAAAATGTAGATAGATTTATCTCCACTACTACACGTTTTTACCTATAAAACAATAAGTTACACACATGTAATATTTATAAATTTGATACTATTCAGGTCACCTTCAACACTCAGTCACACACCCAGGGCCGTTTCAAGACATTTTGGGGGCCAAGGCAAAATGCCCCCCCCCCCCCCCCCCCCCAAATAACTGGGCTCCCCAGAAGCCTCTGTGTAATTCATACCCTCTCCAGTAGTGTTAGTTATACAGTGTTTATAAAAGCCCCTCAGGCATTACTGACATGTCCTGATATTATCAGATGAAAAACTAAATTATCAGACATGCTGTCTCATCTGCTTCTTTTCTAAACTTGCAGAAAGTAACAAAACCATGTGAAAGCCACTATTTGTGGATTCTCTGAAATTTTCTATGGAGTGTGTGACAACTTATTTTTTCAGTCATTTTTGGAAATAGTGATCAATTTTGATTAATTCACAGCCTATGTTTAATTACATTTAAAATTAGTTGTTTGACATCCCCAGTTATAATAAATGTCCACAGATGAGATCAAACAAAACAGATGAGAACTGCCCTTAAGCTGTTTAACTTGGACCAAGCATTTTAGGTCACAGATAGATGTAGCTTAGGGTCTCTGTCTATACACCTTATAAGACAATTTAGGTGATGGCATGTTGTTTTTCTGCTATTGAACTGTTTTCTAATAATGTTGTGTTAAATAAAGTGAAGGAAGGAGAGAAATAACGTTTCCCTAGCAGTTTTTAAAAATTTCCCCATGTAATCCGATTAATCGATTAATCGTGTCGAGACCCCATCCGATTCATCGATTATCCAAATAACCGTTTGTTGCAGCCCTAAAATACAAACAGGGATGGATTTAATTACCATGTTATACTCTTCTTGTGAAGTATTAATATTATATTTTTCTAAGAAGTCTTTGTGGGATAATGTTTCGCCATTAGTATTTAGTAGATTATTCACAGTGTTTACATTATTTAATGACCATTTGTGTAGATAGAGTGTTTTATTGTTGTTTAAAATATATGTATTGTTCCAAATAATACAATTGTGAGGTGAGAAGTTGTGTTTAAAGATAAGATTCCAACATAATAAAGCTTGTTTATGAAAATTACTTAATTTAACTGGGAGTTTTCCTACTGAGAAAAGACATATCAACAGAAAGTTAAGTCCACCAACAGCATTAAATAGATTATCTGGGACAATATTCCACATGCTGTTAGGGCTTTTAATGAATCTTTTAATCCAATTGATTTTTATAGTTTGGTTTAATGAGGTAAAGGTTAGTGCATGAAGGCCCCCTTCAGCCACTGGATTTGAGAGAACAGATCTTTTTACCTTGTCAGGCTTGTTTTTCCATATAAAATTATAAAGAATTTTATCAAGTTGGGAGCAAATGGATTTGGGAATATCCAAGATTGAAAAAACATAGGCTGCTCTAGACATTCCCTCTGCCTTGCTTAGCAGAACTCAACCGTATATAGATAAATCTCTGGAGGCCCAACAAATAAACTTAGTTTTAATCGCCTGAGTATATTTAAGTCTGGAGTTTCTCTGTTATTTTTTGATATCTTAATACCTGAATAAGTTACTATGTTTTTAATAGGAATGTTACATATTTCAGATTGGCAGCTGTCCTTTAGGGGTAGAATTTCACATTTTTTGATATTTAGATTTAATCCTGATATTTTTGAAAATTCATATATTATAGATAAAGCTGTGGGTATTTGTTCAATATTTTGCAGAAACAAAGTAGTGTCGTCTGCTAGTTGCAAGATTTTGATTTCTTTGTCAAAAATTTGTATTCCCCTCAAAGGTGATTGTAGTATTAAATAGTTTAATATTTGGGCTACTAGCAAGAAGATATAAAGGGAGGCTGGGCACCCCTGGCGCACCCCTTTTTCTACGTTAAATCTTTGAGATGTGGCACACATGAGTTTGACTGAGCTATTGTTGTTTCTATAAAGTGTTTTCACTGCTTTGATGAAAAAAATACCAAAGCTTAAGAAGGTTAAAGTATCAAATATAAATTCATGGTTATTTGTGTCAAATGCCTTTTGAAAGTCTAAAAAACTGGGTCCCCAGAGAGTAAATAATTATAATTAATTAAGTCCAAAACTAATCTAGTATTGTTAGAAATATGACGTCCAGGTAAGAAGCCATTTTGGGCTTCATGAATAATGTCATTAATTCCATTAATTCCATATTTTAGTCACAGATGAGGTTGTTGGTTCACATCCAGCCACTCTAAACTCTGTGTGACCAGTGACTGAGCTGGTTATTAACTGGTGACCAGTAACTTGTGACCAGTGAATGGGGACTTGGTGGCTGGTGACCAGTGACCTGGTGACTAATGACCAGTATCTTGTGACCAGTGAACCAGTGACTGGTGACCTGGTTAATGGAAGGAAGAAGCTTGATTGTTTGTTTTTTGTTGGTCGTCTGTTTCTTTTTCACTTCTGTAAAAAACACTGATGATGCCCTAATGTCAAGCATAAAACAGCTGGACTAATTATGAAAATCAGCATGGAAACAGGTTCAGGTGCCTGTCTTCACAAGTCAATCGTGACCTTTGACCTTGCTGTTAAATCACTCTGGAGTTCCTGTAAGATGTGGAATCAATGACTCATTCAGTGAGACATCTGGATGTCCTGTCTGCGTTCCTGTGTGATTCACCCTGAGGAGACAATACACTACCTGTGTGTGTGTGTGTGAGGGGGGAAAGGGGGGGGGGGGGGGGGGGATCCTTTGTCGTCTGCTTCCAGGATCACTCCCTCTCTTTAGGGAAAGTAAAGTAAAGCCTTCAGAAAAAGCCACTAACGGATTAAGAGGATAAAAATGAACAGATGTTGGTTCAGACGCTTCTTCTCGTCTGTCTTGTAGTCGTTCCAGAAAGCTGCAGAGAAAGAAGAAGCCTTCCCAGACTCCGTGAGGACCCTGATATCCAGCCACTATGATCCGGTCTACAGGTTCCACCTGGGCTTCCTTAAGGAGACAGATCAGCGGCTGGCCCAGTGGTGGGTTCCATTGATCTAGAACTGGGTGGTCCGGTCCTGGTGTGTGTTGGGAGTAGAGGCGGTTCTGTTTGGGTTTTCCTTAAATGGTCCTTTAGATGTTTGATCTTTCCTGCAGGGTTATTCCTCAGAAACACGTGAAAATGACTACTTGGTGTTTTAGTTTGTGATGAAAATCAGAATGAGAGGAACTCTGGGAGTGGACCGGGTCAGCATCACAGCTCTTGTCTGACACCTGCTGGTGAGTAAGTGTTACCGCACTGTTGTTTTACAGGGAGGGCCGCTCCAACGCTCACATCAAAGGAGACTATCAGCGTATCGGTGATGTTTTACTGAAGAACATCCAGGGCCTGAGGGTAACTCTGCTGTTTATCTTCTTATTAACGCTTGGCTGGCTGCTCTGACTCTGGTTTGTACCTGCAGACGCTAACGGCCCACCTGCAGAAGCACCCCGAGTGTCTGGTGGAGCTGGAGCGGGCTGTCAGGTCGGAGAAATCCACCAGAAAACGAGACGTTCTGCTGCAGATTCTCGCAAATGTTAAAATAAAGTTTGTTTTCAGGACGAGCCGGAAGGTGGAAAGCTTATGCCGAGACTTTGAGCAGCAGAGGGTTTGCTACCTGCCCCTCTACATCTTCCTTCTCAGGCCTCTCCACCGCCTGCTGCACTACAAACTCATCCTGGAGAGGCTCTGCAAGCACTACCCCCCCACCCACGAGGACTTCAGGGACAGCCGCGGTACTCCAGCCCCCGTCTTCTACTGATTATTGTTGTTGTCCTCTGTTCTGACTCCCCGTCCCCCTCTGTCCATCCCAGCGGCGCTGGCGGAGATCTCTGAGATGGTTCTGCAGCTTCAGGGCATCATGGTGAAGATGGAGAACTTCCAGAAGCTCCTGGAGCTGAAGAAGGATCTGACCAGCATCGATAACCTGGTCGTCCCTGGGCGGGTTCGCATCTTTTTCCATGACTTGTGGATTTATTTGAGCTGCAGTTTCCGTTCTGACCTGATGTTTGACCCTCAGGAGTTCATCCGCTTGGGCTGTCTCAGCAAGCTGTCAGGAAAAGGTCTCCAGCAGAGGATGTTCTTCCTGGTAGGTCGTCATCCTGACTCTGATGTTGGAACGTCAGCATCTTGTCTTTGAGCTTCTTCCTCTGTGCTCCAGTTCAGCGACTGCCTGATGTACACCAGCAGAGGCACGACGGCGTCCAACCAGTTCAAGGTCCACGGCCAGCTGCCTCTCTACGGCATGTCGGTGCGTCACCAAAATAAAAGCTACGGTTCAATAATAAAAATAATCCTTCATTCACAGTTAATGAGCTTCAGATTAAGGCAACGATAAATAAATCAAAAATCAATCTGAAGATATAGATTTTATTTTGAAAAACCTCGCCACATCTGGCTGATGAATAGTGAGAGCTTGCCGAGTCGGAGTCGTCTCTGTTTTAAACTAAAGGCTGATTTTATGGAGCTTTTATTTTGAAAATCAGTCATAAACATGATGAAAACACTTTCAAAGTAAAACTTACAGGACAGGAGGAGCGTGGCTCTTTGATCTGAACTCTAACCTGGTGTCTTGTTGCTGGACGTCTCCTGCAGATCAGAGACGGTGAGGACGAGTGGGGCGTCCCTCACTCGTTCACGCTGCTGGGACCGCGCCAGTCGGTGGTGGTGGCAGCCAGGTACGTGATCTGAACACGGGTCAGAGGACCGGCCTCTCATCCTTGTTACGTCAGCATGTCTTTGTGTCTCGTTAGGACCTTCGTCCCAGTTTGCTTGTCCTGTGATTAGTTGGACATCGTGACCTACTTCAGAACAAAGTTGTGTTTGTGTGCAGCTGCGGGACGGAGATGGAGCGTTGGGTGGAGGACATCAGAATGGCCATCGATCTGGCAGAGCAGAGCAGCGTCTCCAACACCGAGCTGCTGTCCACCAGTCCCCAGGACAAGAGTAAGACCAGTTGGACCTACAGGTCCCAGTCTAACGGTGTCCTAGTGTCAGACTTGTTGCCTTTATCTAAACTCTGTCCTCTGCTGTCCTCTCAGATGTTGGACACCTGGGGACAGGTGTTTTTGACCTGTTCCCACCAACATTAAAGGTAGATGTCTCTAAAACGTCTGACAGAGACATGTCTTTTACCCGTAGAGCTTTTAGAGGATGCTGGAGCTGAGCTGGAGTCGGGGGAGGAGCTGTCCGGTTCACGCTCGTCCCTGGAGCGCCAGAGTCACCGTGGCAACACGACCGTGCACGTCTGCTGGCACCGTAACACCAGCGTGTCCATGGTGGACTTCAGCGTAGCCGTGGAGGTACCACAGCCCGTCTCTGTCTGTCCTGTCTCTGTCTCATGTCCCCTGTGCCTCCATCTTTGGCCTGTGTGTGTGATGTGGGTGGAGCCTGTGCTACACCGACCCCTGCTGGAGGAAAGCAGGTACTGCAGTGGCTGAGGGGGTCTGAGGGACGTGCTAGCTAACGCTGAAATAAGACTTCCTGTTTCTTGACCTGTGTTTTCCCGCCCCGTTGGTGCAGAACCAGCTCTCCGGAAACCTGCTGAGGAAGTTTAAGAACATCAACGGCTGGCAGAAGCTCTGGGTGGTCTTCACCAACTTCAGCCTGTTCTTCTACAAATCTCACCAGGTGAGCTCTGTTCTCAGGTGCTCAACCACCTGCTGTTCTGTGGAAACATTCCAGCTCCTCCTTGTTTTCTGCCACATTCCCGCAGGATGAGTACCCTCTGGCCAGCCTCCCTCTTCTGGGGTACTCAGTCACTGTTCCGGCCGAGTCGGAGAACATCCACAAAGATTACGTCTTCAAGCTCCACTTCAAATCCCACGTGTACTACTTTAGGTCGGAGAGCGAGTACACCTTTGAAAGGTGGGTGTCTATGAGGAATGTCACCGCCCCCGTGATGTCATCAAGCTGCGACGGGCGAGTCAAGGCCCCCAGCAGTCCCAGGTTTTAGTTTAGCGGGAAGGCGTGGGTGTGGATGGGAATATTAAACTAAATCCATCCTGGAATTATTGGAACTGCTTAATAGTTGATGATGATTTTCCATAACGAGGCAGGTTTCTGATTTAAACGTGAGGAAGACCTAAACGAGTCATTCCTGCCCTAACGCCAGCCTTTCTCCTCAGGTGGATGGAGGTGATCCGGAGCACCACCTGCTCCACCAGCCGCTCCCCGCTGAGCTCCAGGAAAGACCTTTACGGGTGACTCCGCCCCCTCAGCAGAAACTCGTTAAACACTAATCGATGAACTTTATCTTCACTGCCTGAATATTTTTCACTATTGTTTTTTCTGGCTGTTGTGTTTGGAGCAGCTGAGATGAGGTGCACGTGGGGAGTGGTGTGCACGTGAACACACTGCTAATGTCTGAGTAGGTGAAAGGTGACACACACTTTTACACACTCCGCTCTTCCTTGTACAGTATTTTGATACACTGTGAAGCTTCCTTGTGGTTGGTCGAAGACGACGAACCAGATTAAACTCTTCCGATCTGCTTCCAAACGCTCCGACTCGTTATTCAGACCTCTGCATCTTAGAGAAGAAACCACCTTCTTCAGCTTCATTCTGACAGCGACCACGCGGTCGTGTGTTAGAGCAGACATCAGAAACCAGCGCTGACGGGTCATCGGGTCTTGGACCGAGTGTGTATCCATGACTACAAACCGAAAGAGTTTAACAAACGTCTACCTGAGCAGGTAGAACAGGTCAGGCTACAGATCCAAAATAACCTGGAAACGAGTCTGAACCCGAACGGTAACCACTGCAGGGATGACGCGTTCCCTCCTAGTGCCGTCGGACTTCCACACGGAACCGGATGGAGGCGGGCGGACTCTACGGAGAAGGTCCTCTACAGGTGATGTGATGAACACAACCTTCGTCATTAAAGTCGTTCAGAAGACAGATCTTGGTTTAACGATCAGGCTCGACCCCAGCTGGTGATGGTGACCATTTATTTTATGTACCCGCCCCTTTTTAGTGTTGTAGGTTTTTATTTCATTATGAACTTGGCTAACATAGTTTAGCTCCATCATCATGATCTGTTCTGGAGGATTGGTCTTCTGTTGAGCCTAGTGGTTAGCCGTCCTGGTTACTTAGTAAAAGTACTAACAAGTCAGACTTTGAACTGTTTAAACCTTCTAGTATTAGCAGAAGGCAGCTGATGGTCCTCATCTCCAAACCTTGGGTCATAAATCATCCAGGAGGATCTGCTGCTCCCTGGTGGAGGGCTGCACCTCATCAGGCGAGAGACGGGGACACCTGGACACGTCTCCAGTCCAAGGGTTAGCTGGATTTGTTAGTGGGTGAGCTCAGCACCAGTGGAATGTGCTCATACCCCTCATACCTCTGATGCTCCTGAAGCGATGGTCCAGGACAAGCTTCTGATGAGAGGTGGCCAGAGGCACTTAGGTGATCGTTTCATGCTGACATGCATGTGACGGCGGGTTTGAAGGAGGATGCTGCTTCTCCTACAGAAATAAATCTTATTTTGAAAACTTACCAGACAAATCTGTTCCACACCAGCTGCCTCTCCTTGCTGGAGGTGACATCACTGGTTGTCAAATGCAAGAATTATGACTTCTTTGAAGTTCAGTAGCGACCAGATCTCCATATGACGCTCGGACCAACGACCTTGCTGTTGTGCTACTGGGACCGGTTACCGGTAGGTCAAAGGTCAGTCTGTTCATCTCGTTTCTGCGTGGTTCTGATGCGGACCCTAACCACTGCTCCACTAAACCCAACCAGCTACCGATGACGGTTGTTTCCTGAAGCTAGTTTTGAGTTTTCAGGTTTGTGTTTCTGGACTTATTGCTCATTGACTGTTATCTCGTTATTTGGCTGTGACGTAGGAGGACCCCGTTGGAAACCAGACGGTGTCATCAGCGTTTCCAAAGTCAAGCGTGACCTCTGAACTCAGGTCATCTCTGCTGAAAAATTATTAGTTTTGGTCAAACTTTTGAAGGAAGTGTTCAGAACCAGCTTGGTCAGCAGAAGCCACGAAGACTCAGATGTTGTCTGCTCCACAGGAGGTGTCAAAATGAGTTAAAGTCCCCTTCACCCATGACATGAAGTAGGAGGACACCAGCAGACTTTATGATGTTTATGCTTCAGATATCATTTATAATCATTTATGTTTTAATCAAGTTAAATAATTTACATAATCAAAAGGAAACATGATTTTTAGATAATCTGATGTTTGATTTTCATCAAGCTGAATGATTTAAATAGTTGATTTAGTTGGGATTTAGATTTTCATGTTGAAGAATAAATGAGAAGAGTTGACCAGCAGCAGAGTTGGGCCAATGAGGAACGTAGCTTAACCACATTTGAGCCAAGAGGCCGTTGAAGGAAGTCACATACAACTGAAGAGGTCTTGGATACTTTCCAGACTAACACAAGCAAACAGATGAGCTGAGTCACTTCAATAAAGGATGTCTCCTTTTATGGAAGCCCAACGCTGGACCAGCTCCAAGGGTGGAAAACGAGGAGAGAAGCGCAGACGTTGGTTCGTCCACTCGCGTCTTCCAGAGCAGCCACACTGGCTGGAGAAGACCGAAGACAATGTCCAGAGGTCAAACCCTATTAGAGATGCTCTAGGTTAGAAGTTCAACTGCCATTTTCTAAGGTTGATGTGGTTCCATCGGGTTCTAGCTTTTACTTTAAATCTATTTTTCCATCGAGTCTCGGGACCGAGACGGTCGATTGGAGTTGGGAGTAGAACGGTTGATCACCTGCCTCGAACAGCAGGAAAGGGAAGAGGATCCTTACAATGGATTATGTCGGCTTTCCTCGGTCCATCCACCCAAATTAAGGATTATTTACAAAGAGTTCAGCCATTTCAGCTCTGCTATGAATGTGAGTGTGAACACCATCAGTAAATTCATTCAGATTTATTATTATTGTTGATTTTAACCAGTCGTGATATTTGAGCTGTTTGCCTGCCCTGGCTAGAAGCTGTGCTTAATAAAGTTACAGGCTAGATAAAGTAGTTGTGTGGTCCATTCCATGGTGGTAAAGCAAGTTATTTATATATTCAGATATACTAACATTTAAAGATTTAATTCAACTATATACAGCGACGTTCATGTTTAAAGTGCATAGGAAATTATTACCAAACAAATTATTAATGCTATTTATAAAACCAGATAACCTATAATTTCAGATACAAACTTAACTTTAGGCATACATATTTTAGAACAACATTAAAGTCATTTTGTATTTCTGTTACGGGTGTAAGAGTTTGGAATAAGCTAGGTGAGGATCTAAAGCAAAGTCCCTCATTGCATAAGTTTAAAGAAGTATAAAAAAATTATACTAATTAATTACATGGAGGAGGCGGAAAGGTTGTAAGGGTGTTGCATTTGATTGTAATTGTCTATAAGAACATAAGAAAACAAATGTAAATTTTGTTTGTGTGATTGAGGATAAAACATGTTATAGGAAAATGGCAATGACACTCAGTGTAGGGAAAATATATATATTTTTGTTTTATCTTTCTTGAAATTTGGTTTGGGGGGGATTTTATAAGCTACCGGAGCTTCGTTCCCTTCCTATTGAACATGTTCTACATATACATATATATATATATATATATATATATATATATATATATATATGTGTGTGTGTGTGTGTGTGTGTGGGTTTCTTTTTGGATACTTTGGGTTGTTTATTGATTTGCATATTCAATAAAGGAAGAAAGAAAGGAGGGCTGGAAAAAGTTACAGCTACAAAAGTACCCATCCTCACATGATCTTCAGTGTCTGTCTTCTCTTAATGTAAATTTGAGGCCATGATCTCCATAAGCATCGTAGTTCTCGTAGGTCGGAAGTGAAAGCCAGTCGGGTTGGTAGGTTGTGGTGCTGTACACAAACGCCTCTGTCTGGCTTCCTGGTGGCTTCTCCTCCCTGTTTCCCACCCACTCCTTGATCTCCAGGTCCACAACGGTCCTCTGGTACTGGGTGGGAATGCACTCGAAGTCGTCCAGGTATTTCAGCATCTTCGTGTCTACTTGGTAGAGCTCCCCATGGACCCTCTGGCCCTTTCTAGGGAGGTTGAGGAGGAACGGTATGTTGTACTTGCCAGCAATCACGAGTGGGTATCTCTGGGTGGTGACGGCTGTGCCGAGGAACTCTGCTTTCCCGTTGTTTCTGTCCAGCACATAGCAGTAGTTAGGCTGACCCTTCTTCAGGGAGCCATAAAAAAAGACACAGGCCATGAGGTCAGAGGGGACCTGCAAAACAACGAGAGGAACAAAACATGTTGGTGTCAAAGCATGAACTTGAAATGGTTCTCCATGCTGTTATCTCCTCCCGTCTAGATTACTGTAACACACTTTTCACACGTTTTAACAAAAAAGCCCTTGACCGCATTCAGCTGGTCCAGAACTCTGCAGCGAGGCTCCTAACTGGAGCAAACAGAAGAGCACACATCACTCCTATTCTAATGTCTCTGCACTGGTTACCCGTTAACTTTAGAGTTCATTCTAGAATCCTGACTAGAACTTTTTATGCTCTACATGGTCAAGCTCCTTATTACTGAATTGTTTAAGGCCTTATGCTCCAACCCGAGCCCGCAGGTCCACACACCAGAATCTTCTAGAAGTTCCAAAGACCAGATATAAAAGTTGAGGAGATCGCTCCTTTCAGACTGTTTGCACCCCGACTCTGGAATGATCTTCCTTTATCCTTACGCAGCATTGACAGTCTGGACACTTTTAAAAAGCAGCTAAAGACCCTTTTATTTAAAGCTGCTTTTAACTAAACCTTTTATTTTCTTGTTTTTAACTCACAATTTTAATCTTTAATCTGTTTATGAAAATTTATAATTTGATGACTTTATTTTTTCTGATGTTAATCTAGTTCTGTTTTGAGAGCATTTTGATTTTATGATGTTAATCTATTTATGATTTTATGACTTTGTTTTATTTTGATCTATGTGAAGCACTTTGTGATTCTATGTCTGTGATACGTGCTATATAAATAACATTTACTTACTTACTTACAAAACTTTGATGGGATTTATTTGGTTTCTGCAGGTGGAGGCTCAGCCCAAGTCCCGCCCATCTACTTTTACTTCTAATGAATGAGCGTCTTAAGACTTTTTAACCCGGACAACTTTATCAGTCATCCACCTCTCCACCTCCAAACCCACGTTTCCCGTATTTTCCATCCACAAATAAAACGTCTGCCACGTGTGTTTGAACTGCTTCACTCATGGGTGTATTAACGTTTACACTATTCCTGCAAGATGTCTTCAATCTGTTCCACCTGTTAAAAGTGTGCACCACACATATTACTGGTGGTAGTCTAGGTACTGTGGAGGAAAGGAGAAACCAGCAGAAACACGTTGATCACATTAAACCAATAATGAATAATGCTCATCATCCTACGACTGTCCGGCGCTTTATTAAACTGGTCTGATAAGTCCAGATGGACCCTGGTCCAGAGTGATGGTGCATCAGGGTAAGAAGAGAGGCAGACAAAGTGATGCACCCATCATGCCTAGTGCCTACTGTACAAGCCTGTGGGGGCAGTGCTATGATCTGGGCTTGCTGCAGGTGGTCAGGTCTAGGTTCGGCAACAGGAAGTGCTCCAAAAATGAGGTCAGCTGACTACCTGAATATCCTGAATGACCAGGTTATTCCATCTTCCCTGATGGCAAGGCCATATTCCAAGATGACAATGCCATGATTCATTGGGCTCAGATGGTGAAAGAGTGGTTCAGGGAGCATGAGACATCCTTGTCACACAGGGGTTGGCCACCACAGAGCCCAGACTTTAACCCCATTGAGAATCTTTGGGATGTGCTGGAGAAGGCTTTGTGCAGCAGTCAGACTCTACCATCATCAATGCAAGATCTTGGTGGAACATTAATGCAACACTGGATGGAAATAAATCTGGTGAAGCTGCAGAAGCTAATCGAAACAACTCCATAATAAATGTGTGTTGTAGTCAAAGCTAAAGGTGGTCCAACCGAATTTTAGAGTGTGTGAGCTCTTTTGGCCAGGTGGTGTATAATAGTCACATAACAATAGTCTAAGAACAAGGTTGGGCATTTATGGGTAACTACCTTTTAAAAGGTGTTTACTGTTAGTTTGCTGCTGTGCTGTTTCCTCATGGTGTTCATAAACATCTGTAAAGCTGCTCAGGTCAGATAAGCATCTGGTTAAACCCTAACCTTCTCTTTCTACAGTCACTGAGTTAAACTAGACCAGAACATGCTTTTGTGCTTTCTAAAATTCAGAGGTGGAAAGAGTACTAAAATGTTGTACTTAAGTACAAGTATAATTACTTTCATGAAATTTTACTCAATTACAAGTAAAATTACCTGCCTCAAAATGTACTCAAGTAAAAGTAAAAAGTAGCTTATTTCAAATGTAGTCAGAGTAAAAGTTACTTAGTTACTTTTTTGACTGCAAGGACGGGCTCTTCTGAATAGTTAAAAAAAAGGCAATGGGGTATAAATGTCAAAGTGGCAGTTTTTTTAATTAAATGAACAAATATGCATATTGAAGTACAAAGGCAGTTACACTGCAAACTAGTAACATAAATTAGGTTATAGTCACAAGCCCATGACTTTTCCCTGAATGCTTATTTAGAGCAGCTGATTTTTAAAGTTAGCAGAGTTCATCTTTGGTAGTGGGTTCACTCACTCATTTAAAGATATCGGCCAGAGGCAAAATTTGTTTGAACAGCATGTGTAAATGTGTATTAAAATCTCAGATGAAAAAGGTTTTTGGATTTTGACGGCTGGAATTGTAAGAAAATCTGATGTTTGTGACTGGCGCAGGAAAAACAGAAACTAACTTCCAGTCTAAGCCCTGGGCAGCTGGTGACGTTTCACATGGAGCTCTGCTGAAACAGCTGTAGTAAACAACGCCTGGCTCCGCTGTTTCTGCGTTAGCGTTATAGCAGAGAACAATGTGTCATCAATCAGATGTAGCTTCTGAAGCCTCTACTAGTCCATCAGATTTGTTTTTTCTCTGGGATACGGCGACGAGAACGGATGTTAGATTACTGGAGAAGTTCAACCGAACTTCGACCCCGCCAGCTGGATATCACTACAAGAGGTGCAGACATGTTTTAGACCGTTTGACTCAGAAGACCTGCGACCTGATTTGGACATAGAGGAGGATTCTGTTCATCTTCAGAACCAAAATCGGTACAGTTTGTTTACTTTTCTTAAATATTTCATTTCTGTGCTCCACTGGGAGCTCTAAGCTGGCAAGTTTTCAGCTGGTTTTAGCTCCATCATGTGTCCCAATATAGTTCAGTAATCTACAGTTTTACTGCTGTGTGTATTTATTGACATAACTCTGGAAAATAATGAACCTAAAATTGACCAGAATAAATCTTCCTGATGTTGGAGTAACTCCTTAGCTCAATTCGTTGTTTGCACTAATCCAGGATGTCATGGAGGTTCTAATGTTGAAATATAGAGATCATCTTTTAGATTATATCTCTCTGTGTGTGTGTGTGTGTGTGTGTGTGTGTGTGTGTGTGTGTGTGTGTGTGTGTGTGTGTGTGTGTGTGTGAGTGCATGCGTGCGTGTGTGTGTCGTAGCTTTCCCAAAGGACTTGTTCTTTCCTTACCAGAGCGAACACGGTTAGTTTTGCTGCAGTCATGCTAACGGGACTCGTCTGGAGTCCAGAAGTAGCGGTGCGGTTCTAGATGGATTTATAGATGTAGGTTATTATTTTAGATCAGACCTGTTATTTAAAAATGCGTGTAGGACATAGACACATGGCTCAGACCTTTTGCTGCAGCTGTAAACGCAATTTTACGTAATAATTACGAGCATGAAAGTAAACAAATAACAGTGATTCACAATATTAGCATCAGCAGCTAGCTTGTTTTACGTGCTGGAGTGACGTATGCGAAACACAGTTCTTCACTGTCTGGAGGAGAGGATTTGGATTTTCTGTAATCATTTATGACAAAAGTCCTTAATAAAATAAAAAACTGGACCCAGTACATGTTTATATAGATGGTAAAGTGTAGTTATTTTGCGTTTCTACAATTTTAATGCCAAGCCAATACCTTTAACCCTTCACCACTGAAATCTGTTTGTTCATTCCAATCCTCCTAAATAATCCTGTCAGAACAGGCCGTGGGAGCCTAGGTGTTACTAGAACTAATGGTGTCTCCTCACCAGCGTGAGCCTCCAAACTGTGAAGGTTGGTCTCCAAACATGAACTTCAAATTCATGCATTTATCTCCTCTTGTAACACTTTAACATGTTTTAAAAGGCTTGCATCATGATATGTTACACCTCCCAGACCAAAGATAAGATAAAACATTATCATAAACACTGCAGAGACGTCATTGTTTATTAAATACAAGTTATTTTCCTGAGCCATTACTTCAGCCAAGATATTGGATGCATGGATTTGATGAAGCCATGCTGTCTTATGCAGACCTACACACACACACACACACACACACACACACACACACACACACACACACACACACACACACACACTGTAGCATGTTAGAATCATTTGAATGACTAATTTAACTAAACTGAACTGCTTTAGTAATAATTTAATCTCTTATTCTGGAGTAAAATAAAGAAACAAGCTAAATCATCACATATCTGTGGCATCAAGAAGCATCTTCTGAGTTCAAACACAGGGATGGAGCACAATGTTTACACCTGAACAGTATCAGGATTAACTCACAGAGGCCTGCAGGTCTTCTGTTTTATGAGCAGAGCGCTGAGAATCCGCTTCTTAGGAGCGCTAAACGTAATTTTGCCGCTTCCGTGCGCGGTATGGAAACACATTTTTTTTTTTTTTTTTTTTTTTTTTTTTTTTTTTTATTGAACTTTTTCATTTACAAACAACATGGCATAGATTCCTTTGTTTTACATTATCTGGGATCAGGTGCAAAAAAGGATAACAAAAGAGATTTTGCGTAGAGAGCAAGAATATTTGTGAAGGAAACAATCTAACAAAAGATAAATAAATAAATTAAACAAACAAAAACAAAAAAAAAAAGAGACAGAGCTAGGGCTTTGTTTTCAAATCATACTTTTCAAAAAGATTAAGGAGTTTCATTGCATGTTTACTTTTCATAAATTTAAGGGCTTTGGAGAAAGAAAGACACTCGTTATGAAATGCATAGAATCTAGGTTTCACCTTTCCATATCTACATTTGTGAATATAAAATTTAGCAACAATGATTATGTTATTTACCAGAAAGTCCCACTCAGTATTATCTAATATGG